AGGCATGAATTCTCTAGTTTTTTTTTCTTCCCCATATTTGAAACACCATCAGCATGTCCTACCCACTGTCTCCACCTGCTTTTTGGGCAGTTCACCCGTGGTTCATGGCTCCATTTCCAAAATGGCTACTGCTCCTCCCCTTCATTCAGCTAAAGTCAACTGACTGGGTGGGAGAGGTGATGGGCTTCCACCTGCCTGACTCCTTCTGCAGAGCATGGGAAGGAGGTGGGACTATATCTTGCATCATAGTGGTTGGATGGAGGAACTTCAGGTCACAACACCCATGAATGGCTAGTGTTCAAGACAGTAGGTGTCTCCCCCAAGCACACTTGAGTAAACAGAGCACTGAAATCTTCACTGGATGACCAGGTTTGTGCTTTCAGGTGCTGCCTAGCAGAAAACCATGCTGTGAGAGGGAAAAGGCTGTGAATATGGAGTTATGATTTGGACCTGAATTGAAGAGTTCTCAGTGGTGCCAGAAGCAAACCACATGGCAAGGGGCCTGCTCTGGGGACTGAGCAGTCCACTGTTGGGGACCCCTGCTGTCTAAGGTAGCAGTCTCTCCATGTCCAGATAGCCGCAGGCTGGCTCGGCGTTCTTATGCAGAGACTCCTTTCCTCAGCAGGGCACCTCCTACTCTCTTCCTGACTCACCTTTGAAGTAGCTGTCACAGATACATGTCCTCTGGCTCAGAAACTGCCAGGTTTTCCTGTGTGATAATCAGGCACTGTCTGACAGCCTGGCAGAAGCCCACCACCACTTGTAAATGGGGCATCCTACAAAGCACCTATCAACTAAGGCTTTTGCCACTGCCTCCACACTATAAATATCCTGGTTTCCCCCTAATAAATTGGAGCTGAATCACTAAGATCTGGAGCTGAGCTGAATCACTGAATAAAGGAGCTGTATCATGGAGCTGTATCAGGAGCTGAGCTGTACCAGTCTCTTATTCAATCTCCCCTGGGCGGGGGGGCTGGCTGGCTGTCCCTTCGTAAACATTCACTCGCAGAGATCCTGCTTTCGCTGTTCTTGCACCTCCCCTCGTGATCCGGTGGCCAGCGGATCGCGTATCTAGAGGGAGTGCCCGGTAGCTTGGAATGGAACTCACCTGGAAGCGCAGCGACAGCTGAGTCGCCAGCATCTGGTAGCCGCGGAGAGCCAGGGACGTGAGCAGCAACGCCCATAGTCCACTGTCCAAAAGCATAGCTCTGCCAATCTCCACCATTACATTTGGGAGATGGGTTTTTCTCCGTGTTATGACACTGTTGCTGAAAGATATGAACAATCTTCTGATCATACCAGATAAGGAACCGATGACAGACCAAATTAAGGATACCGTCAAAGTCCTACTTGGTGAACCAATGAATTATTGGGGTTACTTATAGTAGCATGGGTGAGGGATTTTCTTACAGGAGCATAAATGACTCAAAGCCAGCTGCATTAGCAAAGCCCACCCCAAATCATGAAACCAGGAAACCTGGGGTGCATTGTAGTTCTTACAGGCAGCTCAATAGTTGGAGTGTCCTTTCCATATAGCTCAGCTGGTCTTAACCTCTTCTGGGCAGCTTGGTTTGTCTGTCTTCTAGGCAGCCTTACAGGCCTCTGACTCTTGTCTGAAAGTGTCTCTCATCAATCCATAGTGCTTATATAAGCACCCTTGGAGACAGAAGTGGCATAGTGAACCTGTTAATTTCAGGGACTTGCTGAAGCTACTGAGTTGTTTACTTTCTGTGCCTAACAAGCTTCCCTATAATATAAAATATTTCACTTTCTGTCAAAACATCCTTTTCTTTACTTTCCTTTTTTTATTATTTTATTTATTGTTATTTTTTATTTTATGTGTATGCGTATATTGCCTGCACGTATGTAAGTGCACCCATGTCATGCACGGAGGACAGAAGAGGCTGTTGGATCCCCTGGAACTGGAGTTACGAACAGCTGTTAGCTGCCATGTGGGTGTTGGGATTTGAATCTGGGTCTTTGTCAAGAAGAGTCAGTGGTGTTCTTAACTGCTGAGCCATTTCTCCAGGCCGCGTTTACTTTTCTTCAGAACATTCTGTTGTTTACCTCCATTTGCATATCTGTTGTTTAATTCTCTTTAGACACATTGTTGTTTACCTGTCTTTTAATATCCTGCACCTTAATAAGCATTCTTCCAAGATGGAAGGTCAAAACCTAGGAGGAAATTGCTACACAACACTCTTCACCACAGATATAAGGACCACCTACTACTTTCACCTTTACAGTTCAAACCTCCTGCTGCCTGTACTTCTCAGCATGACATTTCCAACCTTACCTCTCTCCCAGCTGTCTCCTTATAAGTCTCCCATCACACTGTACAAGAGTATCCCCAGTGTCCCTGACATGTGACTGTGCCTTTTTTCCTTCCCTCAGAATAGTTCAGTCTCAAACACTGGAACCTTTCTCACAGTAGTGCCTGGATACACCAATATGAGATATGGGGAAAAGAAAATGGATTTCTCCAATCCTGACATGCCATGCAGAAGTTACTATTACTCAAATACCTTCGCTGAATTTAAGGGATGTGGAAAATATGGATTTGCCTTTGGCTAGGACTGCAAGTCTGTTTTCATGAGAGTTACCTGGCTTGCCTTGCAGATGTGCCTTTGGGATCTGCTACTCTGTTATGGAGCCATGGCTGGAGCTAAAAACTGGTTTCTTTCTATTTCTCTTATATTTTTTAGCTGTGCCATCACTATTTTGGTGATTCTTACTGCTCTTCCTGTTTGTGTCTCTTTGGAATAAACTGTTCTTTGCTATCCTGATTCTTCTCATTCATGGAGCCACTGGAAGGCAGTTTCTAACTGCCATATTACCCCAACTCTACTCTTTTTATCTATTTTTATTGTGCACGTTTTTAATTTTCTACTTCTGTTTAACAATTATACAGTATTTTGTCCTTTCTTATTTCTTCCAGTGCTGAAGATCAAGCCAAGATCTTTGTACATATTGGGAAGCTACTCTGTCTCTTAACTCAGGTAAGAGAAATTTACACTCTGACTCAGGTTAGAGAAATTTAGCTTTGCCCCTCCCACAGCTCAGTCTCACTCAAACACTAGTGAACAGATCTACTTTGAGAAAACAGGGAGGGGGACTGGAGAGATGACTCAGTAGTTAAGAGCACTTGCTGTTCTTTCAGAGGACTGGGGTTTGGTTCCCAGCAGCCATATGGTGGCTAACAACTGTCCCTAACTCAAGTTCTGGGGGATGGGATCTGATGGCTTCTTCTGGCTCCAGAGGCATTCCACACATATAGTGCACTTACATGGAAGCAGGAAAAACCCTCATACACATAAAAATAAAAATAATTTTTTTAAAAAAAAAGAGAAAATGAGAAGGGTCTGTCTCAGTCCCCTTTGCCATAACTCAGAGCAAAGTACGAGAAGCACGTTTAAGTAGTAGAGTCTGTATCAACATGGAGACCCCTCCACCTAAAAGGTGTTTCCACTCCTTTTGTAGAATAATCACAGAAAGTCAGCTGTGACGTACTTGCCTATAATCCCAGTACTTGAATGGAGGCTGGAGGATCAGGAGTTTAAGGCCATCATTGAACTAATATAGAACTTCATTTATATGAAATTCTATATTTAAAACCACACACACACACACATACGCACACACAAGGTTAACCACTAAGTATGTAATCCACATACTGTGGTCTACACAATAGCAGCCTGAATTAACAGAGACCCAACTCTTGGCCTTCCTAATTCATTCAGCTGCTTTTCTGTATTCTCTTGGACTTCATTACTTTAAAAAATTATTCTTTTGATTTCTTTGTTTTTCATCCATCTCAGGATCTTTTGATCTAATCTTGAAACTTAGAGTTTATATTGTGTGTGGTGATATATTTATCATGTATTTGTTTTGAGATTTATACATATATTGAGGCTGAAATCTCTTTCATATTTATGTAGGTGCTTCCTGATAAGAAACCTCTTGCCAGTGGGTTTAGATAACTGGTGTATAGTACTGAGTTTGAGTCCAGTGATCATTTATAGTATAATCCTGTCAAGGCTTCTTTGACTGTCATTAGTGATTTTGACACAACTTGTGCAACTATCAGAACCTGAAAAATACAGTTTCCTGTATAGAATTGGCCTAGAGTTCAATCTCTTGGTTAATTCAGGCAGCTATTGTGTATACCAGAGTGGGAGGGGGAGGGGAGTAAAGAAAGAAAAGAAGGATGGAGGAACAAGGGATCATATGTACACACCTGTAAACCCAGAGCACAGGATGCTGAGGCAGGTAAACGTGAATTCAGTTCAAGGCCAACTACAGCTACATAATAAAACAGGGAGGGAAGAGGACAAGAGGCTTTTATTTTAGAGAGTCACAGCACCATCTAGGCAGT